TTGTTCCTGCACAGAGACAGACGGAGAAGCGGATAAAGCGAGAGGAACAGTGGCAGTGTTTCCGCGGTTGACGATCGGTTGCGTGGTGTCACCGGATAGCGTTTATCAGTAAAAGGTTGACGGAGGAGCCGGAGCCGAGTCAGCAGCCGCGGCGGCGTGGCGCGGCGCGGCGCGGCACGTAAGCGTGTGGGGGATACGCAGCGAGGCATAGAGAGATGCTGAACAAGAGAGAAGAAAATGAGGAGGGAATGAGATCGCGACAGACCCCCCACTTGCTGTTCGCGAGTGGCGGCGCGTGTCAACCTTGCCTTGTCCTTGAAACCACGCGACCGCGACCGTACAACGAGCCAAATCGCTAGCGAACGCTCGCGCGGTTCTAGGAATCAGCTGATTGGCCGACAAAAGGGGAATTCCTAGAGGCCGACGAGGTGCAATCGGATTCTCACCGTTCACCAGCCACGGGATGCTGAATAATTAGCGATCCCGCCGATTATAGTGACTCAGCTACACGCTTTTTCCTCTTTTTCTTGTGTTCGCCGATGTCTGGGTTGGCTCCAGACATCCTGATATTTCCTTCGATTGGCAAGCCCCTTTTCCTTGAATTACATCAATGATCGTCGATTGAAATGATATTTGGAGTATTCTGTGATGCTTTGGGTGAATAGTTTCGGAACGAGTAGATGTTTGTTGATTTCATAAGTGTGCAGTGTGTCTGATCTTTCAGAAGTAGGTACTCTGGTATAGTAAAGTATATAAGAAAAATGATGTTCGAAATGTTTCGAGAACATTCGAAGAAAGAGGTAATTGCCTCGGAAGTAAAATAGGTAAAATGTTTCTATGAAAGCCTGCAATCATGGAATAGTTAAAAATCGTCGATGAATATTCAAGACGTGCGCGACATCAGCGAGCAATGGGAATGAAAGGTAATTTTCATACTTGACTGATGTACAACGACATATTTATAGTAGTGAAAGAAAAATCGTTACGGCGAAGTACTTTGTAAAAGAAATTCCAAGGTAACCGATACGATTTCCACATTGAAATGCTGACAGGCCGGCAAAAGTATGTCCGAAACAGCGAACGAACCCGAACTCGCCAGCGCGACTTTCCGAAAAACTAAAATGTATACCCTCGCCCCCCGAATCCCCCATTATACAACAATACCAAAAAATCGGCGCACCGATAAAACGTGTCTTCCTAACAAACAGCTATCCCCGAACACTTTTCTTCAACCTTATTCCCATCGGGACTGGCTCCGGCCGTACGAGCTCCGGCCAATTAACATATAAAAGCGTGCGGGACGATACAGCGCTCGAAATTCCCGAATTAGCATACTAATTATCACTGGAACTGGCCGAGATCGTGGTCTACCATTCCGAGATTACGGTTCCCGGTGAGCGATGTTTTTCGTTCGGAAGACACGGACGAAACGTGCCTCGAATGAACGCTCCGAAATTTCAGAAGCGCCTCGGCCGCGCTCGCCGCTTCCCGCGCATAGAACAAAAGAGGACGAACGGCGAACAAAGAATCCGCCGGAACCGTGGAAGAACGGAGCCCGCTTTTTCCGGCGGGCCCGGGATATGGAGATTCGTGCAGTTGACGGGGACCTCGTCGCGAAAAAGCGGCGCGCGCGGTTTAATTAAATTACCCACTAAATTATGCGCGGTCGATTATCATCCTAACGACCATTAGAGCTTGGCCCCGGGGTTGAGGCTGATAAATAAGGCGGCGAGGGAAAAAAAGAGAAGGAAAGAAA